TTGTTCCATCTATGACAATGAGACAAAAAAGAACCACCAAGTAGCGAGTCAACTCTTGTGTGTGCAACTTTGTTATTTGTGACAGAAAGCTACAAGTAAATATATATTCATCTCCACAAATAGATAAACCATGAAAGTATGCAATTCTACTTTGAGATTCCGAGCTGTAGGTGAGTTCATACGGATTTTTTAGGTTGTTTTTCTGTGAGAATTTTTGCAAATGCATGAACAAAAGACATTCCATCACATTTACCACAAAATTCTTGTTTTATTTGTTGGACTATGATGATGACTGCCCGAGTAAAAACACGGTTGTCTACTTGCAGTTATTATTCTTCCTGGAAAGGTTTGTTCTCGTTGTTGTGGGTGGAAGGAAACCGAAACCAACGAAGCAAGAGAGGGGAGCAAAGACTAAAACTATGTATCGCTTTGTTTGCCTATTATTACGCGATCTTTCCTCAAAAACAGGGTTGCAATTGAAATTTTGGTTGTTTCATGGCGATGACGACGACGGTGATGATGATGTAGTAGTCTTCTTCTTCCTTTAGTTTCAATGAAAGCCGGCGCTCTTGTTGCACTTTTATATCAACTTCGCTTAACCACGAACCTACCACTTATGTACATATACGAACTCACTTACCTGTTGTTAGTTGGCTCTTCACTGGTAGTTTTGTGTTACTATGTTATGGCAGCACACATTGTAGATATTACGGATACCTACTCGAGCAGTTGTGGCCTTTCAGGTTGTTGATTGAAAGTGAAGGAGCCATGTATGATGTGCAGAAGTAGAAGAAGAAGAAGAGGATGCACACGGGGAAGAATCAGGAGAGGAAAAATTTTTTGTGTAAAAAACTCGGTTCTTCTTGGTCGACGTCGTTGTTGGTTGTTAAGAAGGGAAGACCTACCAAAGGGAAAAGTGTATTTTTCTTGTGTCTTGAACAACAAGAGGGATTATTATCTACCCACTAATTCAAACTCACTTGGTCGGTGGTTCATCATGTTGGGTCTTTTTCTTTTGCTCCTTTACTTTAATACTGTACTTTTCAAATCTGGCTTAACCAAACGAAATCCAAACCAAACCTCGAAACATGCCAACCTCCCTTTTGTTTTACCCTTTCTTTGGCTCATGATTATATAAAACGGGGTCCTGGAAATGAAAAACTCATGTGAATACATTTGCATTTGTTGTATCGTTGTATTCTTTTTCCTTGTACTTTTTTTGAAAAACTTATCTCTTGTGTAATAACGATAACGAACGATGACTGAAACTTTGTAGGATTCAATTTCACAAAAAGACACAAATTTTCACTTGTGGTGGTGCATATCTACGTACTTATACTGGGGCCGGTTAGTTGTTGCATGCATAATAATAATTTTGTCAGAGAACTAACAAACTATTCTCATTCTTGTGAACAACAGCGATGTACATGTGTATGTACTTATGTACGAGCAAGAGTATGAGATATGGGTCCAACTAGTATCTAATTTTCATTGAATTAGCTCCTCGTCCAACTTGTGCAAATTATAGAGAATCGTCCGAATTTATTTATGAGGGCGCTGGCAAAGTTTGTTTGGTTGGCATGAAATGGAATAGTTCGACTGTACAAATTTGAAACCACAAGAGGACGAACTGCTCTTTTTCTTGATTTGGACTTGGTTGGCGTAAATAAGAAGACTTCAATAGCCCTGGGCAGCTCTGGAGAGAGATCCACGAACGGAATGGAAGAAAGATTAAAAGAATTAGACAGGAGGAGACATAAGAAAGAAATTCATGCAACGCCAAACCCTTTCTTCTCAAGTTCTCTTCACCTCTCTCCTCCTTGCCTTGTTTTGTTCCCAGTCCGCTTCACGGATCTTCAATTATTACCGTGATTATACTAAATACGAACTAATAGAATACGAACAAAGTACAAAATGATAAAAAATGAAATACACATCAAGTGAGCATGCAAGTTAGGTTAACCCACCACACAGCACGAATATGCCCGCATATCAAAAATATGAGAGAAGGACAGGATAACATTATGTACATATTTTCCTCCACTCCTCGGCCGTATGGATGGACCAGGAGGCATCTCCCAGAAGAACTCGTACAACAACTGAAAATTGCTAGGAACGAAACCGACTAAACTAACTAACGATCCATCTCTTGGCCGCCTTCATTAATCGTTCTCATTGTTGGTGGTTGGGCTGGTTCGGTCTTTTTCTTTGCCGTTCATTTACTGCTGCACTTACACGTCATGGATTTTTACCTTTATATAGATTCATACTTTGTACATGCATACCTCCAACCATGCCACGTTGTCCAAGGCTCCCTCTCCGCCTGGATCTTCATCATATATCATTTTCCTCCTGACTGGCAGATCATTCTCATCTCTCAGCATGGATCATGGCAGGCTCAGGAACGCAGCACCTCTCATTCAGCTCTGGTTCTTTTTTGGTTTTGCATTTGTTTCTCCAATTGTTTGCGCTTAAAAGTTGATAGTTTGGTGGTGGTCGGAATGCTCATCATCATTGAAATTCCAGTTGTGAGAGGTTAGTTAGTTGAAGGCAAATTAGGTCCAGATGGTCAAATTGAATTAAAGTCAAGATGTTTAGACTTGTTCTCTAAATGGCACACAAATTATTACAATTAGGACTACAAAGCGATCAACAATTTTTTTATTAGTGTTTGCAGCAGATTGGAATCGCGGAGTAACATCATGCCAATAAATAAGCAAAAATATGAGCAAAAAAAAAATCGCAAAAACATGAAACGACTTGTATACTTGGGGCTACTTTCAATTCGTCTTGTAATGAATCATTAAGACTCACACAAGGATAAAGAATGATGACACATTGTGCCCAATTTATTTAATACACATGCAATAAAATAAATTGACTCGACTTTTTGCTCGCTGTCTCTCTGCATGCATGTACCTACGTACTTATATCGTTATAGTACATGCACACACAGTGTGAGCCTAAGGTGACTTATTATAAGTTACATGTGTGAGATATATGCAAATGTAATCAAAGGAATCAAAGGCAGTGTGGCTTGTAAAATATGTTTGGTCGATAAAAAATGAGTTGCTATTTCTTTACCGTGACAAAAATTGACTCCCTCACAACTCATTTAAATAGCATTGTAGTAGAAAACGGAGGAAAAAAAGTTGAGAGAGATCGACATTATCTTGAGCAGTACTTTTCAAATTTGTACGTACTTGACTCATGGCGCACCTTACTTCACAGCCAACTAATTTTCTCTCCGTTTAAAATGGAGCTATAATGAAGCGAGACCATTGGAAGGAAATGATAACAGCTTTACATAACTGTGAGAAGTAGGAGTTCTACTGTGGAAAAGCGGACCCATTAGTCATTTCAAGGGATCCCCAGACCCATTGTTCTGCTGCCTTGTTGTGACTTTTTTCAATTTGTATTTTCGAGCAACTGGGGTCTCCTCTGAAAATTTGGAAAGTTTTAAAACGCACAGTCAGCCAACAAAGATGGTTGTTTCTTGTTGGGTACAATGTGTGGTTAATCCGCAGCTACCCATGAAACTAACCATTTATTTTTTGAAAACGGATGCAGGGAGGGCAGCCAGGAAAAACTAACTCTCCTCTTAAACCACTAAACCCTTCATCCATTCGCCCACTACCTACTAACGAACTGATGATCATCATCAGCGATGATTCCAGCACCCACCTGTCCATGGGTGGCAGCCTCTCTCATTACACACAACAAGAGCTATTAATACACTTACTTTATTCAACAAATATAATTTAATAACTTTGCTGCAACAATTTTTAGAATGTGAATTACTTCCGGTATCGTTGCTGACATGGACAAGTTTAGTATCCAATGTAATACGACAACCTCTTTATTGCTTGGTTTTGATCAGAAGTAGATAACGTTTATTTTATTATTGGAACGTAATATGGACGAAATTAGTCATCATTATTGTTCTACATTGTTATCATTATTCAGTAAAAGTAAATATTATACTTTGTATAAATCAAGTTTATTACTCAAGATTTGCTTGGATTTGATTGCATGTGTGAATCAGAATGCTAAAATAAATAAGCCGACGATTTGATACTTTTGGTGAGTTGAGGCTCGATGGGTGTGTGTGACGATTTGTCGATTTTACTGTTTAGAATAACGTTGTGTACACAAAATATGTTAATGTTGACTTGTGTGAGTGAGTGAGGTGCTGGGTCGCAGAGCGGTGTCTTTGTGAAGAAGGATGAGTGACAAAGTCACCAACATGAAATGCCGACTTGGTTTATATATTGGTTTAATTGTGTTGACTTGATCTATCTGTTTGGCAGACTCTTTCGTTCAGCAAGTTATTATTTTTGATCATTTTTTCCTGATTATTTCTGTTTCATCATCAAAAATGAACTGAGGAAAAGGAGTAAAACTTAATTGTTCTTGTGAGTGTATAAATAATAAGCAAATAAAGTGCTACGTGAGAAACAGAAAGGCAAGGTAAGCACAAAGTCATACAATTTAGCAAAAGTTGTGCAATTTCAAAATATTTTAGACTAAAGGTATTGTGTTTTTTTGTTGTTCTTTCTGGAAATGGTCGGCCTCCAGCCTGACTATTATATTGTAGAGAGATATTAGAGGTGGGCAAGGGCTGAGAAGAAGATGGCGATGAGAGATTAAAAAAAGGAAAGAAAAGACGGGATTACGGTTGAGGAAGCGTGAAGTTAATATCTTTTCTTCTTCTTCTTAGATAGTCCTCTCTTCTTGACTGGTTTCATATTTTCTTTCTCGGTGGTTGAAATGGAATCTGTCGCCGTACAATAAAATAAATGAGAATGACGAATAAGAGAGAGAGAGAGCGAGAATGATGGGAAAATGTGAGGATTTAGAGATGAAGAGTAGAGCTGTGCGTGCAATAGTGTTTTTGGCCATGATGATTTCAGAGAGCTCGGATAATAATGATGAGCGATGAGTGGAGGGTGTTGCAACGGATGATGATAATCATTTATTCGCTTTGTTCTGAATTGCAGATTTGATCTCGTCAACAAAGGATTTGGGAGCGGACAGCGTCCCGTCATTTCACAAATGACAAAGATGGACGGCGTTTCCCATTTCAAATTCTACCTTACCCTCCGCAGCCACAGCTTCCCCGTCCTCTTGATAATCTTGGGGTTGCTAATTAGACCAGGCAGCTCGGGACCACCGTCGTCTTCTCCGTTAGCCCAGATTGATATGCACGGTCCATCATCATCATCATCATCCGGTGGTGGTGGTGGATTAGGTCTCGAGTCAGCCGTTCTATCCCAATTTGTCACCCTCAATGAGACTTACGCCCTGAAACACTTGGCCCTAGACTCACTCTCTGGTCGAGTGTATGTCGGCGCTATCAATCGACTGTATGAACTGGACCCCAATCTTCGGCTGGAAGCCACCGTGCCCACCGGACCCAAACTGGACAACCCCAACTGTCACGCCAGTGGGTGTGGAACGGACGCCGAGACCACGGAAGTGCTCCTCACTAATAATGTGAACAAAGTTCTGTTGGTGGACGGTGGCTCGAGGACACTGATTAGCTGTGGCTCCGTGTCACAGGGGGCATGCCACAAGTACAATCTCACAAACATCACCCTTCCTCCAGAGTTTGCGACTCATGCGGTAGCAGCGAATGACGAGGCTTCCTCCACGTTCGCGTTCGTTGGTCCGGCAAAGTACAACGCCTGGGCGACGCAGAACGTGCTATACGTGGGAACAACATTCACCAATTTGGGAGACTATCGCCACGACGTGCCGGCTATCTCGAGTCGCAACTTGTACAACTTTGATTATGCCGAGTACTCTTTTGCGAAGCAGTCCATGCTGAGAATTGATGTCAAATACCGTGACCACTTTCTCGTCAAATACGTTTACGGGTTCAACGCTTCTGATTTTGCTTACTTTATGATTGTGCAAAAGCAGAGTTATCTACACGGGTTTGAGGAACAAGGCTACGTTTCCAGACTTGCGAGAACATGTATCACGGACGCCAATTACGACAGCTACACCGAGGTTACGCTCCAGTGTAATGGAAATGGAAATGTCAACTTCAATCTAGTGCAAGATGCCAAGATCATTCCGGCCAGGTGAGAGCAGTGTCTATTTCAATCATCAATGGCAATGCTTTGATTTAACGATGCAAAAGATTAACGCGTTAAATGAAACTTGTCTTACTCTCATGCTCATCTTTCATATAATAATTATTATTAAACATTATTAAAATTTTATTCCAGGGACGATCTGGCTCGTAGCTTGGGAATCAAGAAAGGTGATTTAGTGTTGGTGGCTGTATTTGCTCAAAGCAAAGGAATCACGAATGAACCGCAGCCGGATTCTGCAGTTTGCATTTACTCCATGCATGGTAAGGTAAAAGTTTTATTAGGTATTGACACGTATGTTATAACAGGGTTTACACATGACTTATAAGTTTAATACGATAAATAGTTTTATATCAGAACAAAAAATTAATGGTGTAGATTAGTGATGAAACAGAAACTGGTTTCCATTTGAACAAATCAGAACATAAAAGTTTTAAAAACATAAGAATACTTAATCCAAGGTTAACTGATTCAAGCTACCACTGAAAGTCGCAGAATTATAGGTAAAATTACCACATTGGACCATAAACAAATATTCAGTTGCTTTCCTTTCAGTACTGCTTCGAAACCCCCCATCCACGAAAGTATATCGTCTATCAGTTCGTTGATGAACATAGTTGAAATGGGAGTACGGATCCCTCATTAACTGTTCTGGATCACGTTCTGGTGCTGGGGGTTGTTGCATTATTTGGTTGATTTCGGCGGCCACTGCAGCATTGTTCGGGTATCGTTTGCCATTACGCTCATTACATAATTCGTAATCATGTTGTCCAAATCGTCCATGTGCATTACGCTAGACAATGAAGGGGTAATGTAGAAAAACTTCAAAGATGTAGATATGTTGAAATTATTACCTTTGCTGCAGTTTCTCCTACATATGTACTCCATCCACCGTCATCGTAGCAAGCTTGACAGTGCTCCAAATAGACCACGTTTGTGGTAGAGCATGTGAATCTTTTTCTTAAATTGACCCTCTGATTTTGACTTGATCCCCATTGCACCACAGAACATTGAGTAATCAACGGACCAGTCACAACACAATGAGGTTCACGGCAACAAAATGATCCTGGTCCCATAACACCACGCTCGGCATTGAGGTTAATTTCCAGCATAAGATCTAAGAAGTACAATGTAACAAAGTAGCGGGTGGCATTATTATTTTCAATGGCTGATAGCAGTTCATTTCGGTTGTTGGTACATTACGAGGAACCAATATGAGTTCACCCATCATAAATAATCATTTACCATTAATCGGTTTACCAATTCTTGTCCCCTCTTTTGATACTCGTAGTGGCTGCAAAGGATAGTGATTGTCGAAAGGAATAAGTAGTCCAAGAGTTTTGGTCACTGTGAGTCGACGAATCGTACGTTGAACATGGATCATCTTCAAATCTCCTCCTAAAATCCACCCCAACAAACTTCTCTCCGTTGCTGTATCTGTTCCTCCATTCCCATTGTAATTCACGGTAAAAGTTTGTCTCTGTCCATTCTCCATTCCAGCAATAAATTCTCTCGCTACGACCGTGTTTGCAAATGATTTGATTCTCATCGAATTTGGTACGAATCTTCTCCATACTATAAAAATTTCATAGTTGATTAACTCTTAAATGTATATGAAACTAATATTCATCATACCTTCCTGTGGATCTGGAAAAATCGGATTACCACTAACGTCGTCCCACTCAATAATATTATCCAATGCAGGAATAGGTGGAGCTGGATTGTTTGCCAATTGAGCCAAAACGGCTCCAAATTGACTGTAATCGGTCATTTTGACAAATTGATAATAATTTACTAAATTCTAATGAAGAATATTTGATGCAAAATGTAAATAGGCAACACAGCGTAGGTAAAAGTGACGTAGGCGAGGAGGAAAGCGTAGGAAAAGTGAATGACCTAGCATTGAACGGAGCAAGTTTGAGTGCATCATGTAAAATGTTTAATCTTGTGATTATTTATTTCTATGTGGATTCCTACTCCATTTCTACTCATAGATATTGAGGCCAAATTCACTGAAAATATTCACATGTGTTTCAATGGAAGTGTAGAAAATCGAAATATGGATTACATTTCCGGACCCATCCTGGATGGAAAATGCTATGAACCTGGGGTAAGGACCGACACATTTGTTTATTTCCAATTTATTTTTATCAAGTCTCGAGCACTAGATTTCCTGAACAACTAAATAGGACCTGACATGTTCTTTCCTTTCTTATGTCTTTCCAAATTATTTTGATTAATATTTTTGTGCATAAATTTACACCATCATAAACTTGCAACGATTTCTCCCCCTTTATTTTCACATGCACGTGAGCCATATTCCGAGAACAAATACCTTCTCTCATTTCACGTTTCTTTTGATCCAGTCAAATTGGTCGTATCACCAGTGTCGGCTAAAACATGAACCGATAGAATACAGGGACAAAAAATGATCCAAACCGATTTGATTTGTTACATTGATATGGTTGGCGAATGCAGTTCAAGAAAACAATGCCCTGCATCGCAATCCCCACCACCACCACCACAATCATCCTTGGCTGGATATTGCATGGAGGAATAAAATCGAAAGCATCGTCGTGTCCTTATCAATCTCTGATCCTCAAAACAAAGCAGTCTTCTGCCTGGCTGGGCTCGAGTCGATTGACGTTAGTTAGTTTAGCGACCCATAACACTTGTGTACTACATATATTTTTGTAGTGGAATTGGTATTACATATTCTTATTGGGCCGAACAGGATGAGATTTCAATTGTTCACCAGCATCCTTGGTTCTCATCATCATCACGAGTTTGTGTTGGTGATGTTGCATTCAAATTAAGCAGGATCGTCTTCTTCTTGCTTGGATGGAATCTTGGACCATCATGCCGAATTATTATTACTTGTGGCTTGTTCAGACCTCGTGAATTTACATCGTTAGAAAATCTTATAATAAAGTCGATTGGATTGCTTTTTGCTATTCACTCAAACTCAATCGTAACTATTTCTTATTGAAAATTGAAAGTTCATCTCATCTCTTGCTCCCCTCTATGATGGATACTCTGCTAGATACATGGTGGACGTTGGGGTTGAAGCTGACATTCAATTATGAAATTCATTTTATCTTAACCCTATAAACCTCCGAGCTTGTGTTCGTTCGTGGTATTCTAAATTAACAAGTCTAGTTAAGTTTTACTTTGGAATTTCCAACCCAACTGACCAAAGAAGATATGATGCCGGGCTTTGGAACGGACACAAATTGTTCCTCCATATTTACTTAAGCCAACAAGTTTATCATTGTAAGTGCTGTGTGCACGACACAGCAGTCAAACAGTTTGGTAAGCGGGGTGGTGGGTGCAAGTGGAAAATGACTTGATGAACCTGACCCTGTTTTATGATTCTGGATTATTTCATACTTTATAACTTTAGTCGGAGAGTATTAATTCTTCTCATGAGAGGGAGAGACACAGATCACAGGGGATGGATACACATGGATACAGAGGAGACGAGAAGAAGAAGAAGACGAAGATTCCTCCAATTTCATTCCAAAGTTCCCATCCCGACTTTTATTTCCGTTTTATGGGCATTCCTTTCTTTTTTCTCTAGTTGAGGAAATGTGATTCTTCTTTATAAAGTGCGTGCCTTCCTCGATATATATGCGTATGCATGTGCATGTGAATTGTGAATGCATGGTGTCGTGGGTGACTAAGGAACAAATTGCTTTCGGTAGTTTTCTTAATTTAATAGCACATCTTTTCATCTCTTTTTGGGGAAGGATGACAGAAAAACTCGTTGTCAGTCCATTAGTTATTTCTCAAAGTGCACCAGACGCCTCAATTTGACGGGCATGGAGTTTTCAGGCTTATTTATTCAAGTGAAAATCGTCATGTTCATAATTATTTAGATGATTTTCCATGCTCATCCTCAGTCAGTCATATCATCAACATCAGTCATCCACATCCCTGATGCCATCGCGTCAACCAGTTGGTTTTATTAATGTTGGCGCTATGTACATGACCGATGGAGTTGAATATTTAATTTAATAGAATTGAACTCGTAATAAAAAGGACCAGTTTTGAACAATTTGTTATAAAGGTTGTTGAACAGGGAGAAAGAGTGAGTTGGTCAATGCTTCATATTAAAGGAAAAATGAGACCACCACAACCAGCGTATTGTCAACTTGGCAGGTTTCGAATAAAGTTTCAACTATTGTGTGTGAACGCTGCTGGAAAAAAAGGTGACAGAAAATAGTAGAGGCAGCAGGCATGCAAATGGCCCAGCACACACACACACATGCTATTATGTACCCTCTCTAAAAGTATTTTTATTTTTATGCCCGTATTAATTTTGGGCACGAGACTTTTTATTCGTACAAGTTATAGATTGGAATTCGTGGTATGTTGTTTCCCGCATATAATTATTTTCCGAAAGAGGATTCCTCTTCAGTCATGATGAGATCCGTCGTCTCCACACCCAAATTATACTTACATTCGAAATAGACATACATACGTATGCAAAGTTGTACTATTACCAGAGGAGTCGCCGTTATCATAAAAAACAACCGGAAAGAATGGTCCTATTCAGGCCCCCTTCGCCCAAACGTACGGAACACATCATGTTGATAAATGCCCTCTGATGCAAAATGTGTATTAAAGAGTCATGTTCTTTTTCTCCTGGTCCATGTTGCTCCTCGTCCGATTTATAATATTCATATTATTAAATTGCAGTAGTGCACTGGATTTATTTCCTCATTCACATTCCATTATTCATACGTACGCATATATCCCACCCAACATATTTGCATGCAGTCATAGTTTATGTATCTCAGAGATGTTGAGATGTTACATTGTAGGAGAAAAATATGCTCGCCATGTTGGCTTTAGTGTCTTTTTAGCAAAAAGTTACATCTGCACATTATTCGACACAGGGGACACGAAGACAGTCGGAGGGTAGTAGGATAGTCATGAGTGAAATCACTTATTGCACTGTAACCCAACACTGACACTAGTCACTGGGCTGCTGCTGGTCACATTGCCTGGCTTTCTTACTGCCAGCCACGCCACACACAGTCAAGCCGCGCGGTGGTCTCGACTTACTTTGGACTTGTGATCTATTGCACTATTATGTTTCGGTTGGAACTATTTCATGTGGTGCTCAGGAACTTGTGTAATAAGGTCGCACTTTGTACTTTCTACGACGGACGGATCTTCCCCGGTGTAGTTGGGCAATGAATAAAATGAAATAAATCTCAATCTGGCTGGATCTTGTTCTTCTTGTTCTGCTGTTGAGAACAAGGAGGAGGAAGAAGGCTTGAGAAGTTCATAATGTTATCATATCCATATCCGTCTCAGCTTTTTCATCCAGTTTCCAGACTCATTTGCCACTTCCTCTCACGTACATCTACGCATGGAGTAAGTATATGTAAGTAGCCGTCGTGTTGTTCTTAGTGGGTTTCTGAACTAATGGCTCGTGTCAAGAAAGTACATTCATTTTGGCATCGCATGTTTCTAATGTTGCATTACATATTGCATTACATTACGTATTATTATTACCACTGCTAAACTATGTACATAACGAATTTCCTCCTCTGCTGCTGTTGAGAAGGGATCTGCAAATAAATCATGTAATAACTGTGTCATTCAAGCAATCTGTTGTGCTTTGGTTTACTCGCAAAAATTACCGCATTGTCCTTATTCTTGCAGGGTTGATAGTTTTTAAAAAACCTACTCCAAGCAACTTTGCGGGGCCTTTTAACATGGCATTAATGCCATCTTGGTAGTTAAGGGCAACACATTTGGGTGGAAAAGACCCCCACCGGCCAACCACTGGACTGACCATGCCCATCTTCGAACTCATCCTTACTTTTTACCCGAAGATAAAGCATGCAAAATTTCAACTCGATAGCTTTGGTTTAAAGCGAGTTATCGTGCGTACAGACAGACGGACGGACAGACAGACATCCTGACAAATCTATAAGGCCATCTTAAAAGGCCTAAAAATCCGGGCCAGTTCCAATATAGGGTTGGTTTTGCAAATTTCATTTTTCTCGTCATTGGAAAGATCATAAAGTGGTCGTTAAACCAAATACGTATTCTGCTGGGCCTCTGGATCACGGAATTGATCGTGTAGCACAATATTGTTTGGGTGAATCATTGCTTCTCTTAAAACTAACTGGCAATTTACTACCGCTCTTGGGTGCGAATGGGGAAATATTTGAGAGTTTTTGCTCTCGCTATCTGTTGCAGTATTAATAAATAAGATTCTCATTACCGCACAAATGAATGGATTTCGCCGTGTTTATTCCTTTACAAACCGAGTTTTAAATCTGCAGTAAACATGGTCTCATACATATTTGGGCAGGAGTGCGTAGTAAATAGATGTGTAAACTGGTGGCATTTATGTTGCTTTTTCTGCATTTAATCCTAAATTGAATAGTTTCCCTGTGCCTCTTCTTCCCAAACATAATCAAGTTGAGCAGCTTAGTTCAGTTGAGTTGGTAAGTGTTGGATGTGCAGAGTCCTGACAATCAACCTACTCAAAATGACATAAATGTCTCTCGGATGGAATTATGGACCAATTTCCTTTTAGAGAAAGAGTGTTTCTCTTGAAATTTTTTGACATGAAATGGTTACGAGAGAAAAGAATCCATGGACGGATCCTCCTCTCCCATCATAAAGCTAGTGAAGTGAAATGATATAGTTCTGGGTTCCCCGAACCCATAAAAATACGCGAGTCGATGCATTAACCAGTAGCGAGAAAAATATAATGTATGAGATGATATGGAACATAATAAAATGTGCCCATTGTAAATTGTGGCCCTTCATACTTTCTCTCTCCGCTCTTTCCCTCCACGCTCGCTCCTACGTACGCACACACAATATTTGCAACATGCGAGCAAGGAGGATTTCGCAAAACCAAGTAAATCCATCAAAATCCGCCCCACTTTCATTCATTCTTCATATTATTATTAAGTATGTTTTTTTGCCACTGTTTGAAATTTCTGGTATTTTCTCCAGAAAGAGAAAATGTCGATTTATGCATTTATTTGGTTTTCACCATCAAACGAAAGTGATATAACTGTGACACACTGTTAAATGAGAGCATTACAAATAAGTGGAGAGTTGGATTTTCTTGCAGCATTATAGTTCTAGTGGGAGTGAAAGCGGCTATTTTGTCGTGGTATTTGGTAATGGTGGTGGATTGTAGGCAGGCCAAAACATTTCCTTTCTGGCAGCAAAGACATTTCCCTCAATGACATTTGTATTATTAGGTATATTTTTATTACTACTTGATGGCTCCAGTTCCAGTTTATTTAATGGCTCTTCACATACATTTCCAATACTGAATTGAATGCTATCCAAACAACTTATTCAAATAGAAATGAGGCTGCTTTAGTGCCAACATTATGGTCTGATGTGGATTCCATCACGATATAGTCAATTCATGACATTAGGGTCTGATTGAACCTCTCTCCATTTCTGTGGGGAATCTCTCTCCAAGAAATAGAAATGTCTGCAAAGATAATTTCAGGTCCCACTTTCTCCTGATTGCTACTCTTGCTAGTGGCGAGTGACGTGGTTTGAGTGCATGGCTTACTTTTTCTATGAAAAGAGACCAAGGAAATTATCTTTGCTTAAAGTCAGCATATGCACATAGTTCATGCCACCCAGCACCATTCACCACTACCGCCACCAAAGTAATGTTTTGTTTATAAAAAATATGTGTAAGGAAAGGTTTCAATGTCAAATGACTCTTACTACTTATTCCTAATTGGTTTCTTCCCGTCTCGTCCGAGAGTAATTAGGATATTGATGTCGCGTAGGATATTCTCAGTTATCTTGACTACCAACCACCACCACAAGTCACAGTCTTGCTCTTATCTGCTTCATTTACTGTCTTCAGAGAGAGATCGTAGTGGGATCGTATGGATGGTGAGTCTCCCAGTCAGCAGACACCACGACATTGTTCTTGTCATCATTCCTCCTTACGTCTCATTGTAATGACCAAACTGTCTTTTATTGGCTGGCAATGTTGATTCCTATCAAATCCGAAAATCGTAGGCAATATCCATCAAGATTCCAGTGTTGGGGTGTTATTTTTTTTCCTTCCAATAGAATTTGTCTGTCAAATACTCCATGAATGTTTTTACTTAAGATCACGACCAAACTATTCCTGTATTTTTTTAAAGAAAAACGTACCACGCAGTAGTACAATTTTTCTGTTCTTCTTATTGAACTTTGTTCTTTCTGCCATAAACCGAGTTGGTTTCGTAACAAAGACATCAAACTGACAACAAAGTTGGAGAGGAATAATAATAAGACTGGATGATTTGAATTGAGGATAATGACCAAAGTTTAATTGCAGTTTAAGACAGGCAGTAAAAATTAAAGCCCTCCTGGATCACAGCATCTCTCTACCACCTTCTTCTTCTCCTCCTTTAAACTTGTAAAGTTTCTGCTCCGTGTAACATTCTGAGAACAACCCCTATGCATATCTAATATAAGAGCCTGTTTGACTCATTGATTGCACTTGCTAGTTGCTGGTGACTTGGCACATGGAAAAGAACAAGACAAGATGCAATAAAACCATAAAAGCGACTGGAATAATAATAAGTTGTAACGTACATTGTGTACAAGTGTTGTTTTTGATTCTTCTTACACGGCAAATAAGTGATGTCTTGCTTTGTTGTGGTCTTCTTGCATCTCGAAACTTGAAAATCAAAGTTGTAAAAACTTTGGAGTCTAAAGTTGGAAAAAGGTTGAAATTTTGTCGAAGCATTTAAACTTGCATGTCTAATTAAAAGGGAGGAGAAGGAACCCTTGACTTTGAAGTTTTTCAAGTCTTTTTTGTGTACAATGCAAGAATAAATATCTTGTTTGATTTCGTTTATAGTTTTACAGTTTGTTTGCCCAGCAAATAATGATTGGCTCTTGACGCCAAGTATTTAGAAACGAGTAAACATTTCCAACTAGGGATTGTGGAAGACGCTGATATTCACCCTTTTTTTCTGCCGTGTTGTCGATGTTAAATATGTGCATACATGTGTATTCACATTATTGTTGATGTTGATTGTGAGAAGAAAAGTCGAGGCGATGCCTTTCTTTGACTTTATTGTATTTTATAATATTCCTCTTGTCGTCTCAACCTCAACAGTTTATCTTATCTTCCTCTCTCGTCTTCCCATTCATGCCGGAATAAAGGTTAAACTTACAAAATTAAGCTCACATTGCGTTGCATTGCTTTCCTAACAAGCAAACCTCTAATGAAATGGAAACGAGCTGAAGTCATAATAATAATAATACATAAGCCATATAATATTGTTTATTATATTGGTTTACTATATTACACACTTGTTCTTCCACCACTCCTTTTGTTGTAGTCTTGATTTTGAAAGCGGCTGCATCAGCTGTCGATCAGAGAGTATCTTATGCCCATAAAAGCAAGCGCAATTAAGCTGATCCATGTCAATTTAAAAGTAATTTAAGGAGAAATGGCTCTTATTAGCTCGTTTAATTGTTTTCTTATTACCTTTATTGCTAGTGATATCCGGACTGTTAGATTTCCACGCTGATATGAAAGTGGACGGACAATGCGAGTCATCCATTCCATGACGCATTATATATTTCCCTTGTTTAATATTTATTAAAGAGGATCATTGTAATCGACGAGCTTGGGTTTGAATAGGCAACGGCGTGCCCTGTAATCACGGAATCAGGTTCAAAACCTACCCCACATGCTGCATCCACAAATTAAAAATGTGGTCAGCTTGTTTTCCCAACATTTTTTCTCTTGTGGTTGCGACCCGTTGTTGGGTTGATTGTGGGGATGACGTCTTGGATGAAATTTTCAGTTATTTATGACCTGAGAGCGACCAGTAAGTTGATAACCTCGACGTTTGGTCTTAATATTTTAGTAATAATGAACATTAGACCAAAAAATATGCGGAAGACGCATTCCTCTCTTGTCATGTATGATAGTGGTCATTTCTTGATTTGAACAAAGTTCTTATGTTATTCTCCTCTATGATTATTAAATTTGAGATCTAATTAATTTTATGGTTACAGGCTGCCGGAAACATTCCTGATTTTTGCGATGTTGGTCTCAAAATTTCTGGAGCGATTCCAATTGTTCGAACCGCAGCCATCCGTTTCCAGGACGTTCTCCTCTCATCGATTGCCCTTGCTTCTACGGAGCAGCATACTGTCGCTTTCGCAGGGACGAGCCAAGGAGTCATTAAAAAGGTAAGTTTACAGCTCATTTAACGCGACCCCCTGAAGAAGATGGGGCTTCACAACAGATTATTTCAGTTTGGAGAAAGTATAGGAAATATGGCATAGTTATCGTGGTTGTTGTGCACATTATCCAAGTTATCAATTGCGTAGCCCTAGGCGAGCACATAGCGACGAACCAATATAACTCTCAACTTTAGTTTCAGTCGAAATTACGAAGCAGTTACATACTCATCCGATACGACGATGACGACGACGACTTCGCTTCGTAGAAGAATCTTGTTGCCACTGCGAAGCACAAACTTCATAAATTGGTTTTGTATTCGGGATTGTTTAGTCTGGAATTTAGCGAGCAGCCAGCTCACTCAGTCCAACCTTAAGCTTATCAGCCAGGTCTCCTGACGAGTTAGTGCGGTAAAGCTCAAGTTTGCAAAGTGTATTCTAATGAGGTTCCAACTCATCCAAATTACGAAGAGCTTGGAAGAGGAGAAGAGACGGGGCTGCAAATAAAATTGAAAGCAGTATATCATGGCAGGCAGCGGGCAAAGTCGTTCCTTTTAATACTTTCCTGAACAAAACCAAACCAAATTCTACTTGTTCTAGTTTAAGTTGCTTTTAATAATGTTGAAAGTTGGATCATACGGATCCATTTAGTTTTAGTTCAACAGTTTCAACCGTGTTTAGACCATCACCACCAACGCTACAAATACTACGCACACTGTTACTACTGTCCGGCAGCAGGATGATTCCAAGTAGTCAAACCCCAAAATAATGTCGGCAGTTGAATGGAGGAGAGAGAGAGATCTCAGCATTGTTGTTTGTTGTACTTGGGAAAATTCGGGAATTTAGGGAAATTCACGATATAAAAACATCTCGAACTAGCCAGGCATTACGCTTTCCTTGTGGAATTACAACCCAGTAGCCATGTCGGTCTCTCTCTTGGTGAGGGAGGGAGGAGACGCGAATTTGCATCCAACCACCAACCCCTCCGTCCAGCAGTAGTCTCATCTTCCTTCATTGTTTGTATGCATGTAGGAGCCTGTAACGTATAAAATCTCATTTCCGCACCTGAATTATTTCATACTAGGCTGTGTTTCGAGACCTAATAATACTCTGGGAGTGTATAGGAGGGGATAAGTAGCAGATAAATGGAGACTGTTTGCATGTCTATTTGCAGCCTGGATGTTGGAAAGTTATTAGCAAACAAAGTAGGAAATGAAGTGAATGTGTTTGTATAAAATATGGAATAAAATGATATCATAAACATTTACTTTCGTTCTCTACGGGTGGAATGCTCATAAAAATATGCCGTAGGCTTTCTACCCACCCAAATCTACATACATACAACGCATAAATAGTTGGTTGTGTGTGCATACTCTGTATTTCTTATCCCCGGCCAAGTCAAGTTAAGTAAATAAATGTGCAGAGATATCTATATCTTTGTTGTTAGGCTGTTAAAATGAGTGCGCGTAAAAGGGTTTTGCACTTCTTCATTTAAGTGGGAAAATCTCGGCTAATACCAGTTTGGCTTAGGTTATACCTGATTTTGATACTGATGTTGATTGTCCTCTTGTTGGTGGCGAATTTAATCCTTTCGTGGCTTTGCCTTTGTCTTAGAAATTAGGAACATTATTTGAGCCGTTGTTGTACCTGCAATCACTTTCACCAGAGGAGGGATTTGCATATATTGGCCAGCATTATGTATTATTTGCGGCTCTGGTAAATATGTATGCTGTGCGCATGTAGTTTTAATCTTATGCGGTGAATGAAATATAGCCGAGTGCCGGACAGGGAGCTATTATGAAATGACATATTGCATTCATTCCATCCAGCAACGTCTAAATTTAAGTTGAGGTCTGGGAAGATTAATTAGTCTGCTTCATATCTGGTGAATGCATGAACGTAGGATTTATTATTTCTTATTCCTAGTTCAAATCATTATTATTATTGTGAATAAATATGTACAGTCCTTCTTATGGTGGCGGAGGTCTCCATAATTGAGGTTTGGCTTAATCCAATTCTAATTTCTTCAAAATCTTAATCCAGCAATTCAAGTGCACATTGTGATTCATCATTTGCGGTTATTATGTGCTGGACAACACTTGAAAGAGATTGGGCATGTGGAAATTAATTCTATGGGATTAGTTGGTTGGTTGTTCGGTCGGGAATACGACATAAGTAGTAATAAGCACACAGAGGTGATTTATAAATTGTCGCAGGGATATATATATTTTCTCTGCCAGAGGACCAACTCACAGGGTGGATTTCTTTCTGTCCCCTCTCATTGAACTAGAAGTACTGCTCTCGTAATTACCTTGTTTATATTTCGTTTCTAGTTTGTACGACTCTTTGATTCCCCAAAATATTAGTTTATAAATGGAGAAAAAAACTTGATGGAATTTTAAATTAGACCTGCTGCTCGGTATATAAAAAAAACCACCTCTTCTGATTTTTAAAGCCGCGTCAGTATTCCTTCTTCATCCTCCTCCCTACCTTTAAGCTAGTTGTGAGCCACTTGTGAAAGTTGGATGGATGGGAAACTTATAAATCTCATTTTGATGAGGTTAGACTCAAACTCGAGCCTGCTTCACGTAATAAAAAGGATTAAGTGAAGATCAAAGGGAAATGTTCTAAAAATTATTGTCCTCTTACTTCCACCACTCCTTCGCCATTCTGTTGCTTCCTTCTTTCCCGAGTCAATGGAAAACTTGTCGTCATTATCGTCATCGTCTTCCTCGTCTGTCCATCCATCCAACCCTTCCAAACAAACACTAACAGCATAACAGCAGCAGGAGCAGGCACAGTAAGCTCACAGAGGCCGTCTTCAATTCGGTGGGATTATGATTCAAAAATCTTGTTTGACATTCTTCTCTCATATATGAACTTGACTTACGACATTATTAAAGAAGCATGAGCCTTCTGAATCAACTCTGACGGCGTTCAAGTCCCTCACCCGTTACGAATATGGAAGTAAAGTTCATCACATCAAAGACTACTCAAGGAGAGAGAGAGAGAGCGATATGCGATGGTTGGTGGGAGTTCACCTTCACACAATGTTGACCGCCTCGGTCATGCCGAGCTACTGATAAGTACCGAACATCCTTTATTTCAAGGATTATTAAAAACCTGCATCAAAAAATGTACATTTGCATCTAGATAGCAGAAGGTGTTTCGTAATGATGATTACAATACATTGAGTCGTGATACGGTATAAAGGAGGTAGGAATAAATACACAGAAATTGCTTCTTTGCCATCGTGTCGATGTCTGATGAAAAATACTTTGACTTCTTGTTCAAAGTTGAAGCAATGTGTCAAGCCGAGTTAAATTTCAAGCCTTGTGATGGAGTGAACATGTAACATGATTCGCCTCGTCGACTGGCGAATTGCCACTGATTCATCTCTTGGTCTCGAAATCTGAGTGAACGTTCCCCGCTGGAGTTAAAAACTTGTGAAGGCGAGAGTGAAGGATTGAGGAATATGAAGTGGGAAAGAAAGCGAAGCTAACTAATCAATCTCCATCTATTTCCCAATCGGAGACATTCGTACTTCTTGCAGCAACCTACTCCATTAAGATTCTTTTTTCTTATTCTCCTTTCTTTTTTCTTTTCCGTCGGTGGCTTCTGCACGAGGCTCATTGTGTGACCTGTCCAATCTAATCTAGTCAAGCACTTTTCAAGTTTTGTATTTATATAACTTCCACATGTGTTGGACTATGTAGGTGTGTAGTAGTGCAGCTATGTACACACACTCGGACCGGCCACGCACATTAAGGTTTGACGTTTAAGATGGAAACTTCCGGTGCGGTTAATCAAATTGAAAAATTCGTAGCTAATTGATTATGTAGCTGTTTTGGTGGAGTAAATCAAAGCGTTATTAATTTCGCAAAAAATTACAAGGTTATTAAAACTTTTTAGCGTTAGGATGATGATATGCAATAAGTATAAGCTATTCGTCTAAAGATATTTTTTGTTTGTTAATCCTCCATTTGATTACTTATGACTAAAAGTAGTATGCATTTTATCCAGCTTTTAAACATGCTTGTTGCTGGATTGCCGGTGGGGAAAGGGCAACGAAAAAATAATTTCTTGTTGTTGTATGTATAGTGAAAAAGGCGTTTTAAGATCAAGATTTAGTGTAAGTAATATCCGAATTTCGTGAGATTTTATTTTATGTGCTTGACCACCACCGAGATTTCCAGGGCCGAGTTCTCTCTCAAGACGGGCAAGTCGGAGGTGTAAGTGTTTTAACCTCAGGTTCATTGGGCAGTAAATCATCACGAATGGATTAATGTTGCAGCTGCCCAACACCAAACCAATCCGTCTCAATGCTTTTCCACCTTTTTGTGCAGAGAGCATTACTACAATCACGTCGCTTTTTTTATTCGTGCTGTTTCCACAATAGTGAAATAAATCCACTTTTCTGCAAATCCGATCTAGTTCCTGTTCATAACAATGCTCGTAAAAAGCACACTAATGAAAATAGAATTACGTATTAAGTGTTACATATTTATTATATTACTTAACCATATTAAGAATCCCAAGTTGTTAGCAAAAGGTTAAACACACGTTCAAAATAGGAATGAAAAAAAATATGTTTTTGCAGTTTTGCAATTATGCTGCTGGCAATTTTGTGGAAATGTTGTTAAAGGTGCTCTTGGCTCGTCGGTGGTTTGTTTTGCCTGGCGTTTGATGGGAAACATTAACCCCGCACTTTTCATGAGGCTGAACGTTCAGGACGAGAGTGACTGACTGACATGAAATTAATGATTTTCCTTGTAATTAGAGGTTTAATGTAACTCATCAGCCAACTAGTTTACGACGTCGTGGGCGCATGGAAATTGAAAAATATGAGGAATGTGTCCAATACCACGATCACCATCAGTCACACACTTACTTCGAGACCTGCCTTCTTCTCCTTCTTCTTCCAATGATCTCCCCAAGTGAACTTTGGATAAATATGAAATAAATAACATTAGCATATTTTTCATCCCCAATAATATTACAGTCTGGAC